AGATAAGATTAATTTTAAATTACAATCATTGGTTCCAATTTATTATCTTCAATATATCATTTCAAGTGATCTCCATTATATGAATTTTTAAGAAGTTTTCCATCCATTATTCTTAATCAGTAAGTGTCTTTATCAAATTTTTTATGGATATAAAATGGATTTTTCCATTTTTATGAAAATTTTTCATGATATTAATGTTATATTTTCATAATTTAACATGTCAAACTCAATATTAAACCAAAAGAAACTTCAAATAGAAACTAGAACACTTAAACTGAACCAAAAGAACTTAAAACTAAAACTGAAGAACTTGATTTTATTAATTATCAGCACTTGTATTTATACATATTTTCATATTATAGTGACATAGTATAATACAATAATGCGCAATATAGTGCAGTGTGATGCAGTTGCAACGCAGTATGTGATACAGTAGATCAATGTTAATATTATAAAATTATTGGTTCTCTTCTAAATTATACGAAATTTAACTACATCATAATTAATAATCTTGTTCTACATCTAAGTACCAATAACAAGAATAGAAAATAAAAATTAAACTAATATAGAAAATGATGAAATTTGCCAAGAAAATGATGTGATTAATATATCCAAATAAAGATAACAATAAGATAAATATAGAAAGATAAGTAATACGAGAAAAAAAAAGAAAATAAAAAGAGATAGAAAGAAGTAGAATATTATCGAACTAAATATGTAATTTAAATATCATTATAATTAATTTTTATCATAACTGCATCTTCTGTTCACATGTTCTTATATTAAATTATTGTCAATATTGAATCAGTAACAATGTATAAACTATTTTTATTAATTTGTTATTTTGTTATTATTTTTAAAGATTTTTATATTTTCTACTATTTTTAAAAGATTTGTTAATTAAGAAATTTTTGAAATTAAATGTAACAATATGCAACTGATAAAATTTTGTCAATTATATTGAATAATCCAATATATTTAGTATTTAACTTTCTTGTTAATCTTTATTTATTAATAAGTATATTAATGAAGTGAGTTAATAAAAGAATTTTTTGACCAATTTCAAATTCTTCAAATTTGCAATATTGATTTGCATATTTTTGTTATCTGTTTTGAGCTTCTATTAATATATCTTTTGCTATTTTTATCATGATATTCCAATATTCTAGAAATTCTTGAGAGATTGCTACTTTATTATTAGTATTAATAGTAATATATGTATAAGATGATTGTTCACAATCTAATTTAAATGAAATATATTGGATGGATACTTATTTACTATTGTTATAAGTGAATTCTGTAGTAATTAGACAGTCATTCCAGTTACCTTGCTTGTATGTGATAAAATTCTAAGCATTTTTTTCAAAGTTCTATTTAATCTTTCAGTTTGATTATCAGTTTGTGAATGAAAAGCTATTGATATAACTAATTTAATATCCAATTAATTAAATAATAACTTTTAAAATTGACTGGTAAATTTGACATCTCTATCTGAAATAATAATTTTTGACAATTCATGTAATCTAAATATTCTATTAAAGAATATTTTTGCAATATCTGGTGCTGTGACTGTGATATATATTGGAATAAAGTGTGTTCTTTTTGTAAATTTGTCAACAAAAATAACAATAGAGTCATAATCTTGTTTGATTTTTGATAATTGCACTATAAAATCTATTATAACATGTTTCTATTTATTTTGAGGTATTGAGAAAGACTGTAATAATTCACTTAACTGTTGATTACTACTTTTATTACATTGATATAATTCACAACTGGTGACATACTTTTGTTCATCTTTGATCAATAAATTATTGACTAATATTAGTATATGTCTTGTCAATTTCAATATGTCCAGTGATAAGTGTGTCATGGTATTCAAATAAGATTTTTGTCTTCAAATTTTTATCATTTGAAATGGTGAGTTTGGATGTGTTCTTCAAATAAATTTTATTATCTTTCAATTTAAAATAGTGAGTTTTTGCTTGTTCTTTTGGTGTAGTTTCTTTTACATATTGCAATATTTTCAAGATTTCTTTAAAATATGTATCTTCATTATATTATTATTTTAATTCTTTTAATAGTATTTGTATAATGAAAGATCTTTAACAGGTCTCTTCTTATAGTTATAAGAAAAGATAGTGGATCAAGTTAAGTTTATTATTAAGAAAGTTATATGTTATAATTATAATAGGTTCAAGATAGTTTTATTAACAAAGCTTCTTTATTATTATACTTTTTACTATTGCTGCCTTAGTTAGTGCTCTGCACATAGACTATACAAATATATAATATAAGAATAATAATATTACAAGACTATTTCAAGTTTATAATCAAAACTAATACTAAGAATTAAAGAGTAATTATAAGATATTTAATAAGTGAATTCATTATTAAGAACTTGTTAAAAATGATAAATATGATATAAGAAAATACAAGAGTATATGAAAATTATTACATAGCACTTTAAAATATTCAAAAGTTACAAGTTAAACAAAAAAAATATTATGATAAAAATAAAACTCAAAAATCTTTTCAAATTAGTAATAAAGTTCTTATGAAATATATAAAAACTCAACACTGATACTATAATAAGTTTGGAGAAAAATGAAAAGATTCATATTATATTCATAATATTTTTAATAAAAATACTTATAAACTTTATTCAATAAAAGGTAAAGTTCTTAAAAATTCATATAATAGATGTTATCTCAAGCTCTATAATAAACAATTAGTATTTGAATCTATTATAATTATTAATTAAGTTTTGCAAAGCAAAACTCTCAAGCAAAGATTCTGTTGCTATTTTATCTTTCATCATTTTTAACATATATTTATTATCAAAAGTGTATTAATATCTTTTTTACTATTTTCTATTTTCTTTATAATTTTCTTTTATTATTATCCAATAATAATAATTTATATTTTTATTTAATTATTTTTCATTTTTATTATATTATTTTAATCTAAATTTCATCATCATTTATTTAACCAATTAATTCATAGTAATTTCACATTAATTTATATTTTAAATCTTATTGATATTTTATTTTTATCTCTTGTTATATTAATTTAATTAGTGACATAGATTTTCTTTTTAATATTATACAATAATTATCATATTTTAACATGTTATAAATTTATACTTTTATTAATTTTTCTTTGCAATCTATATATATAAATAACATATAAATTAATATAACTTAAATTTGCTATATATATAACATGAGATTGACTTAAAATAAACTAAGAAAATTATATTCTGGTTTTAATTTTTATCTTGTCTTGTTCCTTTTTGTTTCTTTTATTTGCTTTATTTTTGTTTGTTTGTTTTATTTTCTTGTTTTTCTATTATTTTTTTATTGTTTTTCTTTTATTTTCTCTTTGTTTATCTTTGTTTTGTCTTAGTTCATTTTCAATTATCATCATATTATCTTTGTCTTTTATAAATATACTTTTAACTTTAATTTATATTATATATTTAGTTTTGGCATCATTTTATTATTATATAAATATATTTAATATTTATTTTTATCTATATTTTTGTTAATTTATCATTGTCAACCATTCACTATTATTAATTATATTATTCTAATTTAAAGTCTGTCATGAATACAGTTATTATTTATTTCTAAATATTCTTATACAAAAGAACTAGAAATGATAATAGTATTTATCAAAAAGAATATTTTTGTTTATATATTCTGTCAAAATCTTTGAAGATACTTCAAATTTATTAGATCAGATAAAAGATTTTATTTGGCTAATAATATTCTCATCCCAGAGAAACATAATAGTTTTGATATAAAAATTACTTCTTGTTACCTAATAATTAATAAATTTTAAGTAATTACTTTATATTTAAACAAAGCAAATAAGTTTTCAGTGTGTCATATTTTAATTACTGAAAGTATCTGAAACTTAATGTAGTTGTTTATTCATGTTCAAATATTTTTAGTATAATACGATCCCCAATTAAGAGCCTCACTTATTGCTGTTATCATTTTTATCATTTTTTATTAAAAAGATTAAGATATTGGTATATGAATTGGAGATATAACTTGAGAACAGAAGAGTTTTGTCATTAAATATCTTTTTATAGATTTCTTGCTGCAATTTTTAGAATTTTCTCCTTTTCTTCCTTTTTCTTCTCTTTCTCTTCAATCTCAATATTCTCGATTTCATGTTTCTTTAGCAATTCAATAAACGTTTCATTAACAAATATTTCTTTTCTATTGGTATTTATAAAAAATGCTTTCAGAGTATTTGCATTGCTGCTTTTTTGAAGAAAACTTTTCGTTGTCATCTTGTTGTTCTTGAGTTACCAATATATACTAAAGATCTTTGGTTATTACTCAGCAAGTTTTACTTGTCTTCATAAGTTTAAACATAATATTTCTGTGACTTTTGCTTATAATTTGGATCATTATCTTCATTAATATCGAATTCGCAATCAAAATCGTCACCTGAGTGATTATCTTCATCAGGTTCATTACCCAAATAGTGTCTTTTCTTTCTTCGAGCTTCCAAAGCAGCAGCTACTTGCTTTTTTTTAGACAAGTTGAGTGAGATGACTCATCATTACCAATTAAAAATGGATTCACGTGCATGGATCATTGTTCACCAATAAAATTCGTTTCACGTGCATTGAGTCAATGTTTCAATTTGAATATGATCATTAATGACAATTAATAAACTTGAACACCTATAACTTTTCTTATATCTTGAATTTGGAGAAAAACTAATCGTTATCATATTCATCCAAGTTTCCTTTATTGAATAACGATAAGTTTTAATTAAAAACATCTTTTTAAAAAAAGTAGTATGCACTGTATAATGGTTATCGTATAATAAAATTTATCTTAAAATTATATTTTTTATAGTTTTAATTATTTATTAACAAAATTCCAATTCTGACGAAGCATTGGATGGTTGGAATCACATGACCCGACACATTTTTTACAAGTTCACTTTGGCTTTCTAATTGTAATTACTTAAACATGGCGACCTTAAACGCGACTGTTCGCGAAGACAAAAGAAATTTTGCACAGTTACGACCGATTCACATTACACAAGATTTGTTACAGCGCGTTGATGGGTCTGCTGAATTTAGTTTTGGTGAGAGAGGTTGAAATACTGATTCATTTCAATACTAGTATCTTTATATTACAGTTATACCTCACTTTATCGATATTACTTCGGTATTTGATTATAATTATTATAAAAGGTTCCTCGTCAGTTATCTGCTCAATATATGGTCCCGCAGAAGTGAAAATTCGAGACGAAAAATTAGACAAAGCTACCATTGAGGTGTTTGTTAGACCGGTAATAGGCACTCCAGGTAAAACACATTATATCCTAAATTCAGAAGATTTTAACAATTATCTACTCTACAAGTTTATAACAATACTAATAATTAATCCATTGAATCAAAAAAACAAACAGGCACAAAAGACAAAACAGACGAATTCAATCTACGAACCACATTTGAGAGCGTGATAATGACTGGACTGCATCCACGTACGTTAATTCAGATTGTCGCGCAAGTAAAACATGATGATGGAAGTGTACGTGTTCCCTCTTATTTCTTTTTGCAAACATAGAACAACTCCAACTACAACAGTGGTAGTTTTGCTTTAAACAAAAAAAAAGATACTAGCTACGGCCATAAATGCGACTTGCCTTGCACTAATTGACGCAGGGGTTCCCATGAAAGCTATAATAACGGCGGTCACATGTATTGTCACTCAACAAGGCGATGTCTTGGTAGATCCTACTTCTAAAGAGGCGGAGGTGCGTGTATATACGTATTTCTAGTTAGGTGCGATGAAAAGGATCGATTCTTATCGATATATCGGATTTGTTTAGGAAGCAGTATCAACGCATACATTTGCTTTCGATAGTCTCTTTTTTAATGCAGTGCTATGTGAATCGAACGGAATATTTACAGAGAAACAGGTAGTTCGAATATTGATCTTTTCATTGTTGTTATAGATTTATAGTGTATTACTATATTAATATTACCAATAATACAGTTTTTAGAATCCTACGTACTATGTAAATCCGGTGCCAATCAAATCTACGAGAAAATACGCGAATCACTCGGACATAAATTCCAGATTCAGTATATTTCTAAAACATTGCATTTTGATCCCTCGACGATGACGGGGACAGCGACTACTACTGATATAGAACCAAGACAAATTGTTGATGATGGCGATCAGGAAGAAGATATGGAGTTGGAATAATATCTTCTTTTCATATCACATATCATTCCACGTCAGAAAAAAATCAAGATTCAGTTTACTCAGTGCCTGTTTAGCGTATAACTATTACTATAATAATGACGAAATTGCACATTTCAATGGCGAGACAGCCTAAAGGTAAATATCATTTTTATGTACACTAACTTATAAATGTACAACTAATAAAAAATTTAAATTCATGCAGGTCAAAATAAAACAGTCAATGCATGAAAATTAATTGTGTGAGAATAAATATTGGAATTAATTGTGTGTAACATTTGGTAAATGAAAGTTAAACTTTAAATCTCACGTGTTCAACATAAAAAATATATTATTATTTACATTACTGTTTATATTGAACAGTAGTAGAAAATCAATCAAATAAACAAATGGTCCTTATTATCGTCAGCCATTTTGCAAAAGGCAATCTTTATAAGACACGTTTCAAGATCCCCTTTTCTTACCAAAATTCGGTACGTGTTTTCCGTGTCAGTTGACCACAATAATGTTAGCTGTAACTACAAACACGTGAATCGGATCGCTTTTTTTATTTTGATCATCTAGTTCAATTAAGAATGAAACTAATAAAGAATGATCGACGATGAACTAATCCCCAGCATGTATTCTTTAGCGAGATCAATCAATCAACCAGCCAACCAACAAGTCTTCTTTCTTCATCATAGTTGTCATAATCATTATTATCAACAATAACGTTGGTACAACATACAAAGCATTCACAATTGCGAAGCATTCACCAAAACTTCTTCGTCTTCCTTACTTCTACAGCAATCAAGAGGCCCACGTCCCTTATTATCTTTAGCATCGACTAATCCTTTATCTTGTTCAATTAATAGTTTCGCCACTGCTATCGAGGAATTTCCGCATGCCTTGTGCAATGGCGATTGGCCATCTGAGTCGACAAGTTTAGGATTTGCTCCGTGTCTCAGTAGGAGCGTTACCACTTTTATGTGATTGCCGACAGCTGCTCGGCATAATGGCTGTGACCATTCATCATACCGGTTTTATTAATGGGGAAATAGAAAACTTGCTTTTACAATGTGTATGTAGAGTTTACTTGTACTTACTGTTGATAAAAGTTCCGGAGTCGTTGCGTTAGGGTTGGCTCCCTTTTCTAGTAAAAGCCTACATATTTCTTCGTGGCCGTTTCTTGCTCCATAATGCTGGTTGTTTTTATTAAAATGGTATTATTATAGTTGGCAATTAAGAGAATGTCGAAAACGAAATTTATTTCTTGTCTCTCCTAAGTTGCTACCGAAAATAAAGAATATTAATACCAAAGGTGTATACCCAGCCGCATCGCGCTCATTAACCACGCTCGCCCCTTTTTTCGTTATGAGCGCTTTAACTTTTGAATAGTCTCCTTGCAAACATGCTTGGTGTATAGACTTTGAGAAATCGAGTTCTTCCAGTGACTGAATATATGGGTTTGTTTGCTGTGAATGGGAGCAAGAATGGTCGTGGTTTTCATGGTCTTTGTTATTCATATTTATATAAGGAAGTAAAATTTATTAAAACCGCAATATATAATGCCTAAAAAAAACTCATACTACTATAAACTAATAATAATGAATGAATGAGTATAAATTAATAATGGAAATGAGGAAGATTCGGAGAAGAGCGTCAATGCAGTATCCAAGCATATATGTAGTGTCTTATTTTCTTTTGATGTATGAGCGATGATGAGGTTACGTGGCACCGTGTTATATCAGAATGAACAGATCAGCAAAGATAGCGCAATTGACAATGAAAAAACAATCATCGACATAAATTAGATATGAAATACATTGTTATTTAGGTTGGTGGTAGTATTTGTGATATTTATTTATTCAAGCAACTTTATCATCATAGAAAGCTTAAAAGTGTAATCCGTCAATCATTATTCCTTTTTTTTTCTCACGAAAACATCATATATATATATATATATAAATAAATAAAATGACAATAATAATAATAATAATAGTTATGTGGTGTTCGGGCGCGAATGGATAATAAAGGTGGTTGGATTCTATTAATTACTTTACGAATTACATGCAAATAATCGAACTTTTTTTTATGTGTGCCTGCAGGTCAATGTTCTCTAGGAACTTTCTATTGGTTTCTGTATTTGGAGTTACACAAACACTAAATTACTTGGCAATTGTTTATATAAAGCCCGGTCCCATCTTATGAATAAATGTTTTTTCTACAATAACGATATAATCCGGAGTTTGCTTCCATATCAGCGGAATTATATATATATTCGTAAATCTATCACAGAATTCAACCAAATATATTTTTATATATAAGTAAGATGAACTTCTAGTCTTTATATATTTTTTACACTATTCAGAATACAATCGCTCGTGAAACAACCATATATTTGATTGGACATTTTAATTATGACGTCATATATATTCATCAAAATATCATTATCTAAAATAAATACTATTTCACTTTTGCACAAGAATAAATTTTGACAGTTTTTCAATTACTATCATTTGATTTTTTTTACTACTTGCATTACCGTGCGCGCTCTCCACAACTTGATATCAATAAATAGCAGAATAAACTTTCTTTCGAAATATTGCATTTCTCTAGCTTAAATAGGACAAAACGTGAGGGCAAATATTTTTACACTTACAAATCTCAATAAACAACAACTATAACAACAATAATAATAACAAAATGTCATCACTACCACCACCACTACAACCACCACCACACAACGCTCCACTCCCAGACACCCCAGGCGTGCCGATTGATCCAAATTTTGAACGAACGATACAGCTGCGAATAAAGGAGCTGCTTGGATGTAGATTTGATGGGTGAGTCTTGATAATTTTATGAGAAAAAAGATTTTCTGCTTATTTGTGAAAACAAAAACCTAATCTTATTACTCCGAAATTCGAATCGAATTAGGTTTGCCGGGGCACAACCGGTCAGTTTTGCAGCATCACACTTTCATCTACTGGAAACAGAAGACTACTTTGTATGTGAAAAAAGTGATGGCATTCGATACTTGATGTTTGCAACTAATACGCCAAAAGGACCGGCAACATTCTTTGTAAGTTATCTTTTTGTTATTTGTTGTTCCATTCATCATTTCATTTCATTAATTGTTCATGACTTTTTTTTATTTACCTAATAATTGGATAATTAAATGGCAAAATCCAGGTAGATAGAAAAAATAAAGTGCAATATATAGCTGACTTGAAATTACCGCTTCGTGACACACCAAATAAATATCATCACGAGACTATGATGGATGGGGAGTTGGTCGTGGATCTTGATCGTGACAAAGTTTGTATTAGTATTAATATTATTATTATTATTATTATTTACTCTTTCATTGATTTGGTTATTTATTAATTTTTGATGAATTAAAAATTTTTTATCTAGAAAAGTGTGCGCTTTTTAGTTTTTGACTTGATGGTTATTAATGGTGCTGTTGTGACACAACGGTCATTAAGTACACGACTTGGGGTACACGCTCGAATCTTTATATATGGCGTTTTTTTGTGTCTTTGATTAATTTGATTATTAAAAAATACTTTGTCTCTCGCCCCGCTTCCTCTTTTCTCTTGCTTTATTATGAATAAAAATTTTAGATGTTTAGACAAGATGTTATTGATCCGCTGCGGACAGCACTGAAGAATGATCCAGAATTGGCAAAAAGACAACCGTTCACGTATGTTATTGTTTGACTCTCATTATTCATACAAAATAATATGATTATAGAATTTTATGAATAATCGATTTTATTTATATGTTTTTATATATATATTTTTTTATAGAGTTGAATTAAAGGAAATGGAGCGCTCATACGGGCTACCGAAAATATTCCTACAACTGCCACATCTAAAACATGCAAACGATGGGCTAATTTTCACGCCTGTCAAACTTCCGTATTCGTCTGGAACTTGTCCAAAATTGTATGTATTCTCTTTTTCTAGTATTACCATTATTACCATTATTTGCTTTACGCTTATAGCCACCGTTAGAAACTAAACTTTTTATTGTTAACATAGACTCAAATGGAAGCCAGCAAACAGCAACACGGTCGACTTTAAAATCAACGTGGTATGGAACACTGAACGAAAACCACGGTACGAGCTGCTGATTGCATGTAATGGTGTGCATAAGCGGTATGATCAGTTGACGCTGGAGGAGGAGTTGGCCGCAAAGTATGTGTGAATTCTTATTATTTGCTTTTTTTTCCTTTGATTTTTGTCCTACTAAACTACTTAATAATGAACTAAATAAATATGATCGCTAATAATAAATAGATGGCGAAGAGACCCTCCAAATAATCGTATTGGCGAGTTTTGGTAAGTTTCTTTTTTTATATTTGGATGGATAAATTATTGTCGACCCGTCTACGCATACTTTGTCTTTATTTTGTATTATTTAATATAGAGACTACTCCCTCTGTAGTCACCTCTCGTATAATCACACCCCCTGTTTCTGGGCCACTAAATATCTGACTATAAGACCCCCAACATAAGCACATCTCCCTATAGTCGCACCATCACTGGGTCCCGAGGGGTGACTATATGGGTAGACTGTATTTGTGTATCTATTTATGACCTTGAATAATTTCTAACCGTATACAATGTACCTATATATTTCTTCTATATCTAGGTGGGACCCGAACTGGAAAACTACTATTGCTAACGATGATGGATATGCACCCGTTGTTCGTGCGGGTGGATGGAGGTTGTTATCATCTTTTTTCTGTAATAAATGTCCCTTTGATAAATTCCGTTTTTAACAAAATGATTAAAAATAATAAAATCCGTAGATTCCAAAGATTTCGTGACGACAAAGAGTTGGCGAATGACGAAAAAGTCTTGAAGAAAATATGGAACAGTATACAGGATGCTGTATCTCAAGAGATGGTAAAGAGTAGTAATAAGAATCATTCCTTCCCCAAATTTTGATTGTAGTTTCGATTATAATAACAAATTTTTACATGACAAATAAAATAGTTGGAAGGACACTGTGACATAATCCGCAGAGGTTGGAAAGAACGAGAAAAGCCGCCGCTACCACCACCACTACAAACGTCAACGACGCCAAAAAATCCCCCCACAACATCGACAACTACAAAAACAGCCTCTCGTGATGTTTTGCAATCTCCGGCATCGCATCATTCAACGACAAGTTTTCAAGAGCTGAGTCCGACTTCTGTACAGGCGCCAACATTATATCGCAATGATAACGGTACTACTAATAGCAATAACAACAACAACAACAATAATAATAATAATAGCAATACAACAGCAACAACACCAACTAATACAAAAACACCCACGTCACTAATATCTCCAACACAGTCACATCTTATTTCTCCAGTCACAGAAACGGATAATGAAGAGCAAAATTTCCATTCTTCATCAATAACATCCACATCATCATCACATCACTCCCACTCACCAGAAACACCAACCACCACCACCACCACAAATATAGCAGCAACGTCGTCTGTTTCTAATAATAACAATAATAATAATTCTCATCATAATACTAGTCATTCAAGTTCCAGCTCTAATTCTAGTAGTTCGAGTAGTCGCACTCGACCTGTTCCGCAGAAAAGGCAATCAAAAGCAATGCTGGAGTTTATATTAAATGATTCACCGGATCCGGAAACAAAACGAGCGCGATACGAGTAGCTCAGAAGAGAAAGAAATACACACATTCTTTATTTCATTAGTTCAACTTCATCATCATCTTCATTGCATATTTATAACTAATGTATATATTCGTTACATAATTTGTAGCAGCATTTCAAAAGATATAGTTTTATTAAACAGTTAATAGTCACTTATTTGTGTTAGTATTTGTCGGCTGTCGAGTTGTAGTAGCTAGCTAGTCTATTTGATTCTTTTTTGTAGTGGGCAGGCAGCCTTTTATCAAAGAAAAGATGAGTAATCAAATAAATGATTGATTGTTATATACAAAGCGAACGTAACTATGCATTTTCAATGACATTTCGGTACACAATATACAAAGTGAACAATGGTACATGTGTACACACTGCGTATAATTAAAATAGAATGTTTAGCCGTAAGGGCTGTGACAGATATTACGTAATATTCTTAAGGGGGTCTAACAATGTCTTAAGTTCTATATAATATATAAAATCACATGCTTCAAATATCTTATCTGGGGAGGGGGTGGGCTCTATAGTAAAATTATATTACGCGATATATGTCACGGCCCTAGCAATGAACTTTTACCATGTCATCTTTGCAAACTAATTGTTGTATTATTTTATTATTATTATTATTAAAGCGACATCATATATGAAAATATTGACAATAATGTTTCATTTTTTGTTATTCATCAATCAAAATTCAACCCCACCATAAATTCTAAACAATCTCACCATACTTTTGATCAAACATTTGTTTCATAACCATGGCATCCTTATAAACCTGCGAGTCGGTCTCGTTGAACTCCATCGCATTATTGAACATTAAGTGAAAATCGTCACGGAATTCCTGGGCCGACGTGTACTCATTATTTTTCATTTTCCTCTGAATGACTTTCATAGCGATAGGCTTCTTGATCAGTTGGTAGTACTGCGGGTAATCTTGTTTACGAACTAGCTCTTTGAATAAAAAACATCGTTGGCGTGCCTCCCCGTCGTCATAGTCTGTGCAGTTTTCAACGAGCTCGTAAAGTTCCTTAAAGATTCGGTTCAACTTTTCGCGAACTTCTTGAGGCACTGTGTCAACAACCGCTTTTCCGCTGGAAACCTTTCTTTTCTTTGAGGTTTGTTTGGGCGTGTCATCGGTCGTTTCGGTTTTTCTCTTTCCTTTTCGTTTTGCAGATGATGATGTAGTGGATGTTGTTGATTCTATTGGTGTGTCAATAGTTGGAACTGACATTTCCACGGAAACAGATCGTCGTCGTTGTTGTTGTTGCTGCTGTTGCTGCTGCGGTTGTTGTTGCTGCTGGTGCTGGTGCTGTTGCTGCTGGTGCTGTTGTTGTTGCTGTTGTTGACCTTCTTTTCGGGGTCGACCTCGTTTCTTTCGAGATGATTCAGCAACAACGGGAGTTTGTTCCTCTTCTGTTTTTATGAATGAGGATGTTTGGGGGTGCTGCTGTTGTATATCAACAATTTGTGTCTTTTCAAGCTTTTTAGTTTTTCGTTCTTCTCGTCGCCGTTTTTTAGCGTGATTCTTGGCTATCACTTCAGCAATCTCATCTTCGTTCTCGAGAGCATTCATCCACTGCTCTTCAGTTAATCCATCGTCATAATGTACTTCGTTTCTGGCTCTCTGGCCACGACCATACTCTATATCTTGTTCATGACGTTTAAGTAAGATATCACCATCTATCAAGTACACTTCAGGTAACTCGCTATCTTGAAAGAGCCTCTCGGGTTTTCCTTTACCAGTCCATTCTCTTTGATCCTCAGCCATCCGCTGCTTATCGATCTCTTTGAACAGTTTGAGCTCGTCATCGTTTCTCGCAATAATCTCATTGAGCTCTTCATCTGTAAGTTCTTCGTCGTCATTGACATCATTAACCTCGTCATTTTCCCCTTCAAGCAACGACCGTAAAAATGCTTCCCGTTCTTCGGCGGTACTCTTTTGATCGAATTTACCGGCTTGAATGACTTTTCCGTCAATGTCAAGTTTGTATTGAGCTCGTGCAAGTATAGTTTCTTCAATAGATTTTTGTGTGATCAAACGTAGAATTCGTACTTCTTTTGTTTGGCCGATACGATGTGCACGATCCTGAGCTTGAAGATCTTGATGGGGATTCCAGTCCGAATCGAAGATGATAACAGTATCGGCACTTTGCAAATTCAAACCAAGACCACCAGCACGAGTACTCAGTAAGAATACAAAATGCGGCGAATCGGGATCATTAAATTGTTTCAGTAGGGTCGATCTGTCTTCTGCTTTGGTTGAACCGTCTAGACGAAGATACCGGTAGGAGCGGAAATTGAGGAAATCTTCCATGATGTTCATTATAGCGGTCATTTGGAAAAAGATGAGAACTCTGTGACCAGTAACACGAAGTTTACGCAATACACGGTCAAGCAGTTCGAATTTTCCCGAGACCCGATATATCAAGTTATTGGTGAGTTTTCTGGGATTGATATCTCGCTCCACTTCTTCGTATACAAATGGATGGTTACAAATTTTTCGAAGTTGCATAATGGTGTTGTTGAGCCCTTTAATACCAGTCTGTCCTTTTTCACCAGTATTGACGAACAACATTCCGTGTTTTTTCATTTGGACGTAAAGTCTGGTCTGAAGAGCAGAAAACTTGCACTTTATGACCCGCTCTACCTTATCTGGTAATTCCGATTCTACATCTTTTTTGAGACGACGCAATAAGAATGGACGAAGAACTTTGTGTAGACGCTTGATAATCAACAATTTCTCCTCTTCATTAAGTTCGATCTTGTCTTGACCAGCAGTATGGGCGAAAGGCGTATTAAACCACTCATCAAAACTTTTAACAGAATCAAAAATTTTAGGCAGCACAAAGTTCAACAGAGACCATAATTCGGGTAAATTATTCTGCAGAGGTGTTCCTGTTAAGATAAGTCGATATCTAGACTGGTAGCTATGAGTTAAAATGTTGGATAATTTGGAATTGGTGTTCTTCATACGATGCCCTTCGTCGATGATCATATAGACCCAACGAAGTTTCGAGAGAACAGCTTTATCTTTAATGATATATTCATATGTCGTAAGCAGAACCTGGAAATTATTATGTTTGATGTAATTCATTTGTATTTCTTTACGAGCTGCCGGGATCCCTTTGTAAACGCATTTTGACACGTCTGGTGCCCATTTTTCAAATTCCATGGTCCAATTTGTTAGTGTAGATAATGGGACAATGATCAAGAATGGTCCGTTCTGTTTCTTTCTCTCAATTAGATAGGTGATGAGTGAAATAGTTTGAATTGTTTTTCCTAATCCCATTTCATCAGCCAAAATACCATTTAGTCTATTGTTATACAACGAAACCATCCATTGCAAGCCCTTAACTTGATAATCTTTAAGAAGACCTCCTTCCAAGAGAGCAGGTTGCTCGACTTCTTCTTTGATACGATGGGCGACATCATAATAATCGATTTTTTGACCATCAGATAGTGCAAAGGATGTTCCTTCCTCATCGTCCATCATCTCTACGCCTCCGCGTACAGTTGGATCGTGGTGAAGGTCAATATTTTGTTGGGCGATAACTGCCTGCGCCAACGATTCCAAGTATTTGTTAGTTTGTTTAAGCAAATGTGTGATACGCTTGTCCTTTGCTTCATCGATAAGTTTGAGATATTTTTGTTCGTCGTCCTCTTTAAGAGCTTGAAGACGTTCTCTGGCAGTTTGTTGCATTCGCTTTTGCTCTTCTTTCTCGATTTGTGCGTGAAGAGCAAGTATCTGTCGTCCCAGTTTGAGTTGTTTTGCTTGATGTACTTTATGGGCTTGAGTCATTTCACGACCGTGGTTACATATACTTTGCAAGTAATCCAGATGTTTTTGTTTTTCTCTTCGTTCTCTGTCGACTCTTTGTTGACGTTCGAGTTTTTCAGTGATTCTTGCTTCCCGGAGAGTCTGTTTTTTCATTCGTCGGAAAGCTGCTCGATCCGCCGATGTTGCCAATGAAGCAGCTTTCGACATGCCTTTAATAACTTCATGTCTTAGTCTTTTTTGCTTTTCACGAAGACGAAGACTTTTTAATTCTATCAATGCTTTCAATTTCGTGGAAGGTTGAAATTTATTAGACGATCCGTACTTCAATGAATCATTCGCCAAATTAGATGGCAAGTTCTCCAATTCTTTAATTCTAGCTTTGACTCTCGCATTGATGATATTCTCGCGTTCTTGAGCTATTGCATGAGGATCAAGACCCACTGGCGTGATACTCGGCACCAACATCCGCTGTTGCCGCGAAAAATTTCCTTGGGCAACACTATTCAGATTTTTCAGGTATGTGAATGGATCTGTGTAGGCGTTGTATGCCCCAGCTCCGACAACGCCACTCCCAGATCCGGCATTTGTCGCGGCAGAAGCGGCGTCTAGCTGCGCGGAAGATGTGTGATGATTGTATGCAGCTTCAACAATTTTCGAAGAGACTGTTTCAGCTGGCATACCATTATTAGTTATATTATTATTTGATGTGAACATTGCTTGTTGCAATTGTGTCGGGACAGGCACATTTTTGTTAATATGCTTGAATGCAAGAATTTGATATTTTAATGACATTAGTTGTTCCGGTGTCAATGGACTTGATGCTTGTGCCATTGACGTCGGAGTTGTAGAAGTTGTAGTATTTGTAGTTCCCACCAACGCCGTCGAACCTCTTGCTGCGGCCGCTGTTGTTGCTGTCGTTCCTGCTGGCGGGGTAGTTGTAGATAATGAAGGATAGTTTTGCTGTTGATACGCCCTCAAAATATTCAATAGGTGTGCGTACTCTGCGTCATTAGCTTCTGTAGCACCTTGTGCTTTTTTTGTTTGTATTTTTGCAAGAACATTTTGTAGGCTCTCACGAGTCAAGGCGCTCATTGTGGCCATCGGCTGGGAATTCATTTTTTATTCTTTTGCAATGTTCAATTTATTGTTCTTGATGCTTGCTGTCTGTCCTTTATGATTAATTATTAGAAGTAATTAATAGTTGTGGGGATGAATCGATGACTGAACGGACGGGAGATTCTGCCTGTTTATTTTTCTGTATCTTTTATGGTAATATGTGAACTAATAGGTCAGAAGAATCTTTATATCGCCATCGTCAATATTTTATTTTTGGTAGATGCGGTTTAAGCAATAGATAAAGTAGCTGTCGACGTGTTTATTTCTATTTAAGCGTCGTTTCCTCTGGTTGGGCACAAGGGGGACATATACATCATTATATCCAAATGAATATGTAGATCATGTGCAACCAGAATTTAACGTTGAAAAATTTGATATTCTATTAGTCATGCTATTTTGCATTGTATAATAATGCAAATAATGCTACTAATAACGGCGAATTTCATAAAATTCAAAAACATTAGCCTGGCTTCTGATTAATCATTTGTCGCAGTTTTCTTTTATTATTATTCTAGCCAGAGTTATAACAATTTTAAAATCACATTAAAAGTTAGTGTTTTCCATTATTTATTTATTATTTAAGATTTATAATTGAAATTTTACTCGATTTATGAACAAATAAAATTTTTAGTGAATCTTAAACAAACAAAAACATTTACGAATTTTTTCTTCAAATGTATAATATTAAAATTCAAAAAAATTATAAGTTTATATTTAGTATAATAACAAAGTTCTTATACAAAGAATATAAATATTTAAATATATCAATAATAATTTCAAATTAGTTAAACAATTAAAATAACAAAAATATCTAGATAATTTTATTTATATAAAGTTTTATATTTAATCTGAAAAAGTTTTTTTTAATTACAAAATAAATTGATTAATTTTTTATATGTTTTAAACTTTTATATAAAGAGAAAAATTTATATTTTATTATATTTATTAGTAAATTTGAAAATAATATATTATTTTTATAAGTTATTATAATTAATATATATTTTAATAAAAAAGCAAAATTTTTTTTGGAAATTTTCAGAATTTTTTCAGAATTCAAAAAATTTTCCAGAAAATTTAATTGATAAAAAATTTAAAATAAGTTTAATAAAAATTATTTAAAAATTTTTATTAAAATTTTTATTAGATTTAAGTATATATAAAAAATAATTCAGAATATTTTAGTTATTTTAATTTTTATCAAATTAAATATAAAAAATAATTTAGAATTTAATTTTAATTAGCTTTTGTTAAATTAAATATAAAAAATAATCTAAAATATTTAAAATATTATTATAATATAAATATTTAGTTATTATTTTATTGGTTAATTCATATTATAGTTTAATTAAATATTAATTAGATAGAATTTTATTCATTAATTTTTTTAGATAATGAAATAAAAAAAATAATTACAGCAAAAATAGCAAAATAATTATAGTAAAAGTAATAAAATAATTATAATAAAGGTATCAAAATAATTCTAAATAAAGTAGTATTTATAAAATTATTAAATAATATAAGAGTGATATATTTTAATTAGTAATTTAGATAAATTTTTTAATTTTAAATTTTTTAACAAATAAATTTCTTAGCTTTTAGTTTTCTTTACTTAAAAAAAATCTTAAATTTTTTACTTAGAAACTCGCATTTGAGAATTTTTATTATATACTTTTTTATTTTAATTTTAATTTAATTTTGAATTTTTTATTTTAATAATTAACCTTTATATTAAAATATGTTAATTAAATTAATAATTGTATTATAATTTTTGGTTTAATAAAGGAATTAAGTATATTATTAATATATTAAAAAATTTTAATTTCTTAAGTTTAAGTAAAATTTATTTATTATTATTTTTGAAACTTTTGTAACTCAATATATTTTGTTTCATCAGAAAATTTTTATATCTGATTATAATTGATTATTATCCAATAATCAATTATTGTTAATTGTTAATAATCGATTATAATCGATTATAATCAGATATAATCGATGATTATTAAAATTGAATATAATCAATTTTTTGTTTAGAATCAGTGAACATCTATAATCAATGATTATTGATTTTAATTAATCGATTATAATCAATTGTAAATGATTACAATTAATTGTAATCACTACAAATTGATAGACAATGAGTAATCAATTACAATTAATAATTAATTCTCATCAATAATTAATAATCGATGATAAATGATTATTTATTATAATCGATTACTCATTGTTTATCAATCTGCAGCGATTACAATCAATTGTAAATGATTATTCTGCCAATTAATTCATCTTTCACAAGCACATGTACAATATTAAGAAGCTTTCAAAATTTAATTCTTGGTATCAATTCAATAGATATTTCAAGTAATATTTTATATT